TCTCTCTCTCTCTCTCTCTCTCTCTCTCTCTCTCTCTCTCTCTCTCTCTCTCTCTCTCTCTCTCTGTGTGTGTGTGTGTGTGTGTGTGTGTGCTGGTACTAACCTGGGAAAGGTGTCGCCTTGATGCAGGATGACGAAAAAGCTGGAGCGCTGGTGCTGACAGGTGAGTCCACAGGTAAGTCCCCTGGCCTCCACCATATCCCAGTCCAATCCCTCTCTCTCTCGCTGGTACCCTACCGCTCTCGTCGACTACTCTAGCTACCACCTGAAGAATGTCTGCCTACGCCTCTAAGCGGACCAGCTATATAACGCTGGTCCGACTGGGAGGCTGCCCTCGACCAGTGCCAAACTGCACCAGTGTCTGGCGCCAAAACTGGAAAGGCTGCCGCCTAACCTGGCGCCCATTGAATTCGGCTTCGAATTCGAGGAGGCCTGAAAACGGCCTGCCGTCCACTGGGCCTCTACGGCTTACGTCTACCCTGGTCTGGCGCCAAAACGAAACAGCGTCCAGAACGTACCAGGTCTGGCGCCAAAACTGCACCAGGGCATAACCTGCTGGTACCGTCCTACTGAAACGACACGGACCCTAGAACAGACCCTAGGACAGACCCTACATCTCCCTAAAACCCCTAGTCCTACTGGTCGGGCCCTGTCAGGGCCCGTGTGGGATCCCACAGACATACTGCGATTCTGAATTACCTAGGGCTAGTCAGCTCGATGACGACATCTCAAGGCCATCACCCTTCGTTTTTTCAAACAAAAGAAACAAAACCTACACACACACATGGTGACTTCGACCTCGGAGAGTCAGTCCGACTCCACCTGGGGGACTCAACCCCACCCTCCTGGGAAACCCGACTGCCCATGGGAGGGTCAACCACCGCCGCACATCCGGGGGGCAAGTCCCACAGTTTGGTTTGGATTCCTATACCGCTGCGGCACGGTGCGACAGGGGGTGGCACCGTGTGACACCATTTCGAAGCTTTTTTGAGGACGTCTGAAAACTGTGCGTTGGGCGTTGCTCCACCTCACCAAATGCAGAAAATGAGAATGTATTTTCCGCCTGTACATGGGGGAAAATACATCCCCATCGTTTTTGCCTTTCCTGTATGTGGTGAGAAGGGCCCAAAGGCTTTGGAGTGGACGTCCATGCACAAAGCATGTGCATGTGTGCAGACAGACAGACAGACAGGGAGAGAGAGAGGGCAGTCTGCTCAGACTGACACACTCTTCTCACCATTTTCGTAAAATTCTGGCCCTTAACAACTTTCGAGCTGGTCTTCATTCCTGACCCATCAAAACACGGGCCAGGAATGAAAACCCCTCCAACCATGAGAAAGAGTACCTAGCACAGTTGATGGCCAATGAGAGGGAGAGACAGATCTACTGTGCTTCTATTTGCACAGCAACAAAATTACGACCGTCCGATCCCTTTGCTATCTGCGGCTGAAAAGAGTGTCACACACACAAAAGGTCCTCATTCCTATACTTTTCTGACCACTAGTGGAACTTGGCCCGGGGAAGCACGAGGAAAAACTTCCAATACTCAAATATGAGGCTGCTCCGTGGCGAGGAGAGATCAGCTATGGGTGACATTGGTTAGGTTGGTATTGTCTCTGTTTTACAATGTCCTGGTACAGGGAGGGCTAGAAGTTGCTCTAGGATTAGGAGACCAGAATTGTTGATATAGCATAGCTTACTACAGTTAATACAATTTTTTATCACCATCAGCATCATCATCAGTAGTATCATCATCATCATCAGGATCATCATCACCATCATTAGCATCATCATCATCATAGTCACTACATAAGGAACGCTGAGTTTGGTTCTCAGCAAGTTCGGTTTTGTTTCTCCGGGCAGACTGTGAGGACCCCGGCCTCATTCCTCTTATTGGTAACATCAGCCTTGGGCACTGGGCCCGTTTAAAAAAAAAAAAAAAAAAAAAAAAAATCAGCTGTTTCAACCACTAGTACCTTTGCCGCTTGGGAAAATAGCGGGCCTCGGGTAGGCGTCCGACCTTTTCAGAGGCTGAAACGAAATGAGGCCACCGATCAGATTTATCAACGGCAGTCGTCGTCGGGCCCGACCTCCTATTTTCCCACGCGGGAAAGGTACTAACAACGGCAGTTTTCCCTATTTTCCCACGCGGGAAAGGTACTAACAAAATCACTACCAAATCACTACCGTAACATTCTCCAAAAGCCACAATCTTTCCTGCATGGCCTGCGCCTCATTTCATTTTCACATGCAACTTGGGACCCACCACTCTACTCACAAAATGTGGAGCATGTATCTTCTGCTCGAACGTGGAAAGAGACACTCACTATATCTTTTGTCCTTTTCACATTTGGTGGGTGGTGCGGCCTTGCCCTTCGTAGCCGCTACTCTGTGGATGTTTGAAGCCGCCCCTCTCTCTATCACAGTCATCAGCCGACCAGTTTAGGGCCTCATCCCACCCTACTTACTGTAAGTAATTTAAAAATTTTAGGCCTATCCCACCTTACTTCTACTTACCGTATGTAGGGTGGGATGAGGCCATTAGTCAGGGGGTCTTTTTGCGTTTTCGTGCAGCACGTTCCACCCATGAGAACACCGTCCAAGTGGCACCTCGCCCTTGGGGGATTTTTTTTTTGTTTTTTTAGAAAAGCATCCACCTAAGGTTGCTACAGTATCCGGGTTGATGAGCAACCTCCACTACCAGGGCCCCGTATCAGGCCTGTTTGTCACTTGCTGACGCTCCTCGCGTCCTCAATGGCCGACTGGCCGGGTGGAAGCTCTTGGGAGGTCTTCATGTTGTAATTTTCGATTCCTAATTCTGATCACTTGGGCTTCGAGAAATGCTGTTGCGCTGCCTTCTTGTCTTCTCTCTCTATATCCACTCCCTCCGCTATAACTGCTCCCTTCCTCTGAGCGCTCTCCTGTTGCTGTTTCTCGTCCTCTTGCTGTTCCTCATTTGCTTCCACCTGCTCGGACTGCTCCCCACCCCCTCTACCATAGCCCTGCCTTAATATCCTAATACTCAGCACCTGTCACCTGGTTCGCCTCTCTCTCTCTCTCTCTCTCTCTCTCTCTCTCTCTCTCTCTCTCTCTCTCTCTC